CCCCCCCCCTAGGATTTCCAACCTTTATTTTTTTCTAAATTTATTTCTTCATTATTCCTTTATTTCTTTATCTTTTATTCCTTACTTTCTTATTTATCTCTTTTCTTATTTCGTCGCTACTTTTATAATTCTATTCCAGTAGCGGCTCGCATATAGGCATATGGAACTGAAGCACCGCCTAGATCACGCTTGGACTGTAACAATTTAGGTTAAAGTAAATGAAAAATGTTTGATTTTGTTGTTTTAAGATTTTATCAATTTTCTGAATAAATTTTCTTTTCTACACATGTTTGTTTCTTTTTACACAATTTTGAAGCAAAGGCTAAACATTTTCTGGAGCAACACTCCCGCGAATTTGAGGTACGAACAGCCACTGTTCTATTCCCTACTTTTCTACTTCTTGTCTTCTTTATTTCTATCATCCTTTCCGTCTTCTCATTTCACTCTGTTCCTTTTCACTTTCCATTGTGCTTGTACTCATCCTATTCCTTTGGTCGAATCGAGTATATTCATTCGAATAGTCATGTAAGGGTAGTCACCCTGTAGAGTAGCTACACGTATAGACCATGATATCGGAGGTTGCCCTTCCGCCTCATCCGCTAAGCTTGCTCAGTGGGTCGGGCCCAAGTTGTAGCCGCAACAGGATTAATCCGAGTGTCTATCTCTCGCGTTTTTAGAATAATTTGTTCGCTTTGCTAAAAACGGTCCAACATGTCGTCCACCCTTCAGCACTTGTATGGGTAGAGATGATCTCATGTGCCGGTGGAGAGATCGTGCGGAGTAGTCTATTGGCTGTGGCTAAAGTCCTGTCTGTGCTTGTGCTTTTGGGTCGGCTTCGTTTGGGGTAGTGCGGGTGCCATTTAGCACCTGCTAGTCTAAAGTCACCCTCCGTCGGAGACACTTACAAACCATTATGTACTGATACATAAGTATAGTTATTCACTATAAATATTAAATAAGTGATGTAATTGTTTTTGCGGCTATTAGGTGTACATACAACTAAGTTTTTGACATTTTTTTACATAGTTTATTGTTAATTTGCAAAAGAACGAATAAGTAGCTAATCGTGAAAGTAATAGCCTTCATTTTCTACACCTTTTTGTCATCTGATAGGCAATTGTCGAGTTCCAATTCGGAAGAAAGATAGTTATTTTGAGTCGATGAAATCATCGATCCATTGACGGACTTCTTCAGGTGTTGTTCATTAAGCACCCACTTTTCATCACACGTTATTACTTTGTGCAGAAAATCTTTTCTTTTAAATGTGGATAACAGGAACAGACTAGTATCGCGGCGCGTTTCTTTGTTTTCTCGCCTCAGGAACTAAGCGGCCCTCCTTTTGAACTCTCTTGCTTCTGCAAGTTCTGAAGCTATATCGGCATGAGTGCCATCTGTTATAAAGCATTTCAAAACCGAGGCTAGGTACTTTCAAACCACCATAGGGCGGCAAAACCTTAAAGTTTGAATAGGTGCTATCGTTAACTAAAGATTAGGGCCGAGAACTTGTACGCCTAATAATTTATTTGCATCTATATTATCCTGAATCGTTTCGGACATGCTTGAAACACCATAATTTTTTTTCGATTGTCCATCACTATGTTTCCACCACAGTCAAGTTGAGAGAAGAATTACGTGTGGTGCATATCTATATATTATTAGTGAACTATAGGTATAGTTCACTATACATTCAATGTATCTCAACTCGCTCGACTCCGGTAGGAACATAGCCCATGATCATGAAAATGGCCATGACAAAGCCTATAAAATAAATCATTAGACAAAAATTACAGTACTTGCAACTTCGAACCTCAATATACTGCACTATTCCATGTAGTAAGATCAAATTATAAGTTTTTAATAATTATTGTAAAACATATACTCCATTCCCAATAAACTATAAAATACATACTATACATACATATAGTCGAAAATAACAAGTTCCGTAAGAACATAAGAATGGAAAACATATGAATCATATGGCAATTAGGTGGCGAAGTACTTATTACTCTCATTACTTTACTTACAGTGTCCAAAGGTCAACGTCTCTGGCGGCAAGAGTCGCCCATTATTATCTCTGTCGCATTTCGTTATCGAAAAGGGAGCGGAACAACCACATGTCATCTATAAACCTTGGTAAGTGTTTGTGGTGATGCCAATGAGTTGGTAATGTGAAGAGATTTCGTGTTTTGGCTGTGTGCGTGTAGTGGGTTGGTGGAGGAGGAAGATTACAGGAGTGCGCTGGTGAGAGAATCAGGAACGCGAGTGTGTCGTCCAAAAATAGATAAATGGATGGCAAGTGTACTACCAGAGGTGGTGGTTCCAATTGTAGTTGGAAAGATGTCTACTAATTAGTTACTTGACGTGCAATCGTAAAGGACAACGAGCATGGAGGTGCTCAAAACAACCCAGGAGATAGTTCACGAAGGCTGGCTCATAAAATCACCGCCCACAAAACTCTGGCGAGCGGTGGGTATCTATGTTTCTGTTCAATCTATCAGAATGTGAAAGGACTTTTGGTTATTACTTTGAAAAAATGCCATTGTTTACGTTGGCCCAGGTGGAGAACTGTCAGTGAATTTTTTTTAAAGTTTTCTTAGAATGTAAGGAGTATGGATACATTGTTCTTTATTCTAACCTGCCTGTAATAATGAATGACTGTGCTTCATTGTTTTATCTTATGAAGTTTTTGGTTGATTATACAATATTTTGTGTGTGATATATGATTTCAATATATTATTGTCAATTATTGTGGTTTAGAGTTAAATTCTTTCTAGTGCTGAGGTTGTTATGTGGTTTAAAATTTCTTTGTTTAGTAGATACAATAGATAGATTTTGATTTTAGAGATGGAGAAAACGTTGGTTTGCGTTACGGCACAGTGGGGAATTACCTGGACAGTATTTCCTGGAATATTACACAGATAGACGCTGTCGCAAGCTGAAAGGCTGTATAGACCTGGATCAATGCGAACAAGTAACTTTCACCTCCTCAGATTATGATAATTTTGTTAATATAAGGTGTCAGTGTTATATGACTATCTTACTGTTCAACAGGTAGATGCAGGCTTGAGATTTGAAAATCGGAAGCAGAAATATCAGTTCATGTTTAATGTTAAGACACCTAAGAGAACATACTACCTTGCAGCAGAAAATGAGGCAGATATGAACAAATGGGTGGATGCAGTTTGTCAAGTTTGCAGTTTGAAGGCATACACACAAGATGAAGATGCACAGCGCCAGAGTATGTAGCGTGTGTGCATCTCTCATGATGGGTAACAATAATGGCCTATTCCTCCAATAGTGTTTCAGTTTGAATCGCAAGAGTCACCCCCGATCTCACCAACTAGTACAATATCAGGACCATACATTCCAATCAGTGAATGTATTTCTGGTCGACGTTTGAATGACACAAGTTCGCTTAGTTCAACTTTGGGTCATGGTCCAGAGCACTACGATGCTCCAAGAAAGTTAGCACCTTCACCTCCAAGATCGCCAACCACAACGGATGCTGAGAGCTTTACCGATGACGAGTGGACAACACCAGTACCTAGTGTTAATTGGGACACCTTTCCTTCTAGTGGTATATATTTATAGTTAAACAATGCGTCTCCATAAAACAATTACAGCATTAAACAGGGAATCTGAAAATATGTACCAGGTGAGCCCAGACAAGCACACAGTTCATGCGACACGGAAATCGGTTCCTGGAGTGTGAGAAAGCGCTTTGGTAAACTCCGTATTGTCGACTCAGTGACTCCTCCCGCGGTAGAGAAGTTGCCAGTACCGCCAAGACCTCCTAAACCACCACACATGCTGCCAGAGAATCCTGGACACAACTACCTAAATTTGGATGGTGCTACAGAGAGTTCCAAGCCGACTACACCAGCAACACCAGCACCTTCTACACCAGCAACTGCTATAATAACGGATGAAACGTATGATTTTCCAAGATCTCATCAGCCTGGAGGAGCTGCCGATACGAGTACAGTAGGACGACCTCCCAGACATTGTTATTCGAACGCTGCACCCTCGAACGTAGATGATAACAGAGTATTTCGATATGACTTCCATGACGACGAACCGTCGAGTCCACGTTCAGAAAGCTCTATGACGGCTACTTATTCAAATTTACCGAGTCCACAAATGAGGGAAAGCACGACCTCGATTCCGACCACTATGGCTCCCCCACCGCCTGTCGTCTATAGACAATTAAAGCCAGGAAGAAAGACCAGCGATTCAACGTCAGTTATTAGTAACGAACCATCTCCTGGGCCAGTTCTATCTGTACCAGATATAAGTTCGACCGAACATTCACCAGCTGAACCACCTAGTATTAATAGGAAGCTCAAGCCACCTCTTAACAAGTCTCCTTTAGAAGGTAAATTCCTTAAATACAAATAACCAAAATGTCAATACTTCCTCTAAATTTTCTTAATGATTCATAAAAATATACATGCACCTGCTATTACCAGGACCCCTGCAACTAGCTGCTCCACCTGGGCGAGGACGAATGCGTGCAGCTCCAAGTCCTACACCACCTTCTCACAGTCACACGGGACGCCATCAATCAACGTCCGATGAGGATAACAATGCTCCGGAAGATAAAGAAGAGGCGAGTATATAAAAAAAAATGTATAACCTATCAGTTATCTATTCTCTCTCACTTACTAATCAGTCCCATGTTATAAAGATCAGTAAAGCACCAAAGTTGATCGATATCTATAAAATTATGCCACAAAAGGCACACAGAGTTTCTTTAATATTATTTTGACAAATATTCTTTCCCATTTAACACAACAGTTCAATACATTGATTCAGATACTCTTAAAGTTCTTACAAAATGTATACAGAAACTTCTGGCAAAGCATCTGTTATCATTTTTATATTTCATGCAGTTCTACTACTACCAAGAACATAATAACTTTATCCCGGCTTCATCGAATCGCCGTCTGGTTGTTCTCCAATACTTGGACCTAGATCTTGAGGCCACGGAAAGTTTTGCTTCCTCAAGTTTACCGGTCGCTCAATCGCCACCGAACACAACCGTCTACAAGACTGTCGACTTCCTCAAAACGGAGGCCTTTAACAGGACGCGACAGCGTGTCGAGGAGGAGAGAAAACAATGCACTGATGAGTTGACTTAGCCCGAATTGCGCTGGAGTACTTACGTCGCCATCGGTAGGTTTGATCGTATTTTCCAGCAACTTTAACGAAGTGGCCCGAATAGCTAATTACGATTACTTCTCCCTTTACGTTTTTTTAGTTATTTTTTTAAACGACATATGTACATATGTTTTTATCCGATCTGCTGAGTGATAGTATCGGCAAGATTTAACGAGAGGACGATCGGCATATTGAATAGCAATATCTTAACGGACCAAAAATGTAATGTTAAAGTTAACGATAATCGGACGGGTGATAGGACAAAGAAGAATTGTCGTATCTCGAAATTTCTATTCTTTTATAAAATAGACAAGAACAAATAATGACCCTGGCAGCATACAAAATTACTTCTACTCGTTTTGCATTTAATTAACGTACAAGAGGTCGGAGGGGGGGATAACTTTTCAATTTTTTCAACTGTCTTGTCTTTGTTTTATTGACAAACGACTGTGCAACGAATTACAATTTTGAATGGCCATCTACGGCGCTAATCGAGTCTTTTATTAGGATGCACATTGCTTCTAGGTATTAGACAAAATATATAGTATAATATATTGTAAACGTGCCTACACGTATTTTATATAATTAACGATTATTCTCATAAAAGAACGAAGAGAGGTGGGTGGACGCGCACTGACGATAAGTGCTAACGCCAATACGCGATGTTTCTGTCGTGATGGTCAAAGCTCCCGTTAGTAACGCGATTGAAATGCAACGTACAAAGAGTATTTTTATATATCAAGATGGCATTATCGTTCTCCATTTATATATCGTTAGGTGGGGAGATAGCGTTCGCGTTCTTTGAACTCTCTTTCGGTGCACAATTTTGTTGCCAGTATTCCTTTGATTTTCTTTGTCATTGCTATTGAGGGAACTAAGAATTGCGCAAAAGAAATTTTATGAATTCCACGAGTTTCGTGGCTGTAGAAAATCACGTTTCTACTTTTAATTGGAACATTCAAAATGTCAAGCCATCTAGTACTGAATTCTTTCTAACAGTATTCTGATTTTTGGAATTTTAACAAAATTATAGTAAGTCAGCATACAAGTTATTGTAATACACGATGAATCGGAGATCACCAACTTATAATTTAAAAGTGGATTTTTAACATCAATTAGGAATTCATTTTTTGAATGATAAACGTAGATAATAGATACTGATATCACATCCTGTATCAATAGAGAAATAATAAATTGTGGCGCGCTAAGGAATATGAACGAGAGATACATTTTGTAGTTTTAATAATGAAAATGTACACGCGTATGCCATATATACAGGGTGAAGCATTCAAATCAAAATTGTCAAATGACTTAAGAACAAGGTCTTGTATGAACAAATTTTTGAGAAAAAACTTGTATGGAGTTTAAGGGGCCAATAGAATGGCCTACTTCAATTAAAACCCTTCATCGATAAAATTACCGTAGGCCATTTTTCGCTCCCTTAAACCCATACAACTTTTGTTTCAAACATTTTTTCATATAAGATCTTGTTCTGAAGTTATTTGACAGTCTCGATTTAAATGCTTCACCATGTATATATACACACACACACACATATATATATATATATATATACACACACAATTTTATTTTTATAATCGCAATATTCTAGGAATCTTTTACAATTAGGATTTTATTCCGTTGATATTCGGTCGATGCAGCGATAAGTTATAAAGAAAGGAAGATAAAATGAAATAGTTATAATTTAAATAATTATGGAAAGATAACTGTATTTAATGTTATATAAATCGTTTGAGAATCTTTCCTCTTTTTCTCTCTCAATCTTTTTTGCTCGCTATTACACCATTCAAAAAAAAAATCCGTGTTCTGTTATATAATATATCTTTGACTCGTAAACGAAGAATTCACGGTTAAGCTTTTGTTTATATTTATGTTGATGACACCGAATTATCGTGATAGGTATGATGCTCACACATTAGGGAATTTATAGTTTAGAATAAATTTAAAAAAATGGCTGGTAAGAATTAAATTTAAAAGAAAAAGTAGAAAGAGCAACTAGTTTCTACGCCACAAACCACGCGTGCACGAACACGCAGACGAGGAGAATATCTATATACTTGTTGAAAACGTCGATATCGGCGTCATTCAAAATATGAGAACGTCGAAAGTTTTTGTATAATTAAAATTACCCAAAAAAAAAATCGTGTAATACCTGCACACTGAAATACATGCTATTATATCCCACCAATGTTTCAAAGGCTAATAAATAATACATATGATAATAGGTACGTTAAAATGACGACCTAGTGTAGGTCCGCGGCACAATCGAAAAGAGAATGACGAATTATTAAAAAAATATATATATACATATGTATAGATTTAGGGCTCTCTCAGTTTTAATGGCTAATTGGCGAACATGTCTATAAGCGAGAAACACATATCCGCAATATCGTTAGGAATTAACGTCGCGACGACCGTTAATAATAATAATATTAATAGTAATAATAATAATAATTCATAACTCGTGATCTCTTTACCTCGCTGCATTGCTTCAATAGTATCCATGAAGCTCCAAAGTTTGGTAAATTACCGTTTGCAAATTCATCTATGGCATTGACTGCTGTAAGCTTCGACACAACTAACAATTATAACGAGACACATTGTTTCTTAAGGCTGAAACAGTATATGGTATCTACCTGTAGGTAATATATTTAAATGCACAACATACCTGACTAGGTTGGAGATCATCGAGAGAATCAACGATAGACGTTGAGGAACGTCGCGACGCAATCTTTCTGACCTTACTTAATGTACTTCATCGATAAATAAAGAGGAACGTTTATATCATGTGACTGATTCATTTATTTTACCCTCCATGTTGTTCGACCATTTTTCCCTCTGTTTCCCGTTTGCCCTTGCATGGGAACTTCCGGTGTAGGCGATAGGTAAATACACAAGATTATTTTATTTGAACATGATCGGTTATTATTCATCGTCGAAAAATTGCACGTACGTACCTTGCAACTTACAGCGTAATAACTATGATACAAAAGACACTAATCGTAAATCGTACAATTAATAATCGAATGGTCATTATAGTTGGATGACAATTGGCGCTAATTATAATTTTAGGGTGGGCATGTGTGAGTGTTTATATGTAATTGTATATTTCGTATGTATATGCGCGAGTGGAACAGTAGTTGTGTGCATGTAGAAGTGTGAGAGGACGCTGACAATTACATATAAAGTTCAGTGGAAGGGAATAGAGGTCAGAGGTCGCGAAGGTAGGAAAAAGTTGTCCTAAGGACGTGAAACATTTAAGAAAATAAATGTTTAAAAATTCAGTCGTTCGTAATGCAATTATCTTTAAGTCACGCTCTTCACGACAGGTGGCAGGCGCGGCGTATCCGCGACTTTTCGCGCGATAACTAATTATATTTATAGAATAACTATATATTGTATATATATTTATATATAATATATCTCGTTATAGATTTAAATACTTTACGGTTAGTCACGACGAGTCGGATGGATCGTCGTTGCGCGCGCACGCATCGACGCCATGTTTGTCCTTTTCGCGCGTGAACATCCCGTGGGAATTGTCTATATCTTTTTATTAGGATTTCATTGCCCGAAATTCCTGCTGGACATTGCGCCGTGGTATGTGCACGCGTCTTATCACACAATGCATGTGTGCTATATTTTATACTCATTTCGAATGAAAGGCGAAGCGAGTGAGCATGCGTACTTGCAGATTTTTCAATTTCTCGAGTTTACAAGAAAAATCTGCAGGTTCTAATGGCCGGATTCTCGTTATCGCGTTCATTTTACAACCACGTACGACATTCAATAACTGTTTAGGACTTTAGAACAGTCGTTAAAGTATGGCTTGGAACCGATCGGAGGAGATATATGTATATATAAACTTTTGTTATTTGCGCATGCGCACTAGTATATGAGGAGTGCATTTTATGTAGTAAACTCTCTTAAATTTCGATATTACTATTATATTACTTTTGGCAGGAATGTCGTAACTATAATAGTCATTGTGACGCGGCTGACTCTATGAGACATGATTACCGATTTTCCCTTACGATAAAGAAAAGAAAAAAGTAAAACTTAACTTGACAGATTATGCAACAGTGAATGCATAGATGTTATTTGTAATTAAACAGTGTTTTTTTACGAGACTGGAGCACTTGCCACTCAAGTAATTCGGATTCCACATCTATCTGTGTACTTGTATTTTATTTTATATTGCTCTTCAAAGTTGTGACTTCATGCTCGACTGACTCGAAAAATAAAAAAGGTAACGAAGACCACTCGTAATATCGCAGTCTCATTTTATTAGAGAAATAGGAGAAAAAATTAAAAGAAAATTCTATCTATGTCGAAAGGAAGAACAGCCTTCACGTTCTCGTCCGACGCGCGCAACGACTTAATATTCATATTTCATTGTATAATGCATTTTTATCATTTTTAATTTGCAAAGGCATAGAAACAATTATTATAGGAAGGACGTCGTTATGGAAATCACTTAAGTCTACGGTAATCATAATAATAGATATTCAATATAATGTATAGTAAATGTTACTCAATATATACAATATGTAGCACCATACACATGGACCAAGATGGAATTTTTACTTTTGCAATACACTGTAAAAGATTTATCGATTTCAATAACTGGCGTTGAGCGTACTCTAATAACTATAAGGAGAACGAATGAAAAGAAAATCTACATTTCTATATACACAGACTTGTCATGCTACAGAATGACCTTTTAAAGGAAATATTTTTTTATTCCGTGAGCACTCTCTCATCTTGACACACAGAGTTATTATTTAAGTAAACAGAAAAAAAATAGTCTATTCTAATTAAGCGCTCAGAAGCGACTGACTATTTGACTAACACTTTCTCTCTGGTTTTTATAACGCTTTAATCGGTACATTGCGCAGTTGCAAATACGCAATTCCACGCGGTCCAAGTGTACAGATTTTCAAATGGAAGGAATACAGTCTATCTTACAAGCCGAATATGGTTGTGGTGCGATAATGTAGTACAGTGTACGTGAGGCGCTAATGCATCATTAGGATTTACGGAATATCGCCGAAGATGATGAGAATAATAATAATAATAATAATAATAATTAATGATCATCGTATAATTATTATATTCGTTATTACAAACTAGAAACAATTCTTAATGACTTTGTGAGTAGCTTTGTAATTAGGCATTTGAGCAGTATCTAGCCACGAAAAGAACTTAAGAATAGTTGTTCCATTGATCACACGATCAATCAATGTAAAAACCTATAGCGGACACGTTTAATCTCTTCTGGTAGCACGTCTTTTGTATTTTGCATATGTCTCTTAAAAATTTATCTCTGTAACCACTCTGTGTCTTACTGCTTTTATATTCTCTGGACGCAGTCCGATATCCATTTGTTAATTAGCAAACTGTGATGTTGAAATCTCTCCTTTGTACTCTCGATTTCAATCACGTCGATCACTTTTCTTACTAATCCTTCGTCCTCGAATTAGTTTAAATGTTAATAGCTCAATCAAGAGGTGCGCGTCGAAGGCAGATTCCAAAATACGCGGGGAATCCAGCCCCGAGCGTTTAGACGTGTTAATATAATAAAAGAAAAAAATTAATGAGCGGGAAAAATAATAAGATTAAAGAAATTAACGGAATTTCATTCTGAATGAATTTGAGATAAAATAATAAAAAAGAAACCGTCGTGATGCTCGATTAAAATTAACAAATTAATTTCGACAAGGATAATTCGAAAAATGGTTTCAATCAACTTCTCACTTATGCTTCGGAAATTAAAATTGGAAAAAAATAATTTGAGGAAAGAAGAATAAAGTCACTGGTATGCCGAATCGACGGGTTCGTTGTTGGATTATCTACTAACTTATTTTTCTTTCGCCCAGAGGAATTGGCCATTTCCGTTTAATAACTACGCGCGTCTACAGCTTGTTGATTACTTGTTTGTAAAAGTATTAAATACACGTCGTAGTTTATTTAATTAGAAATATGAAAAAAATGTCTACGCGTTACGCTCTTTCTTCGCTTCTGGAATTGTGAATTTTTTTTTCTTTGCTTATTACCACGCTGACTTAGAGACTACCTACGTAAGATATTTTCTTTGAATCGTCTCGATCTTGTCTAGCCCGGAAATCCACGTTCCTTTTAGGCCGCTGTAGCGACCCGGAAACGCGCCGGACGCGTTCACAACGACAGATTCCACATGGAAAATGTCAAAAAATTGTATTAATCATATACCATCTTATAACGACACCCTTTTGCCTGAAGTCATTTTGTTCTTTCTCTCTCTTGTTTTTTTTTTAATCTCTCGAATCACGTAGCAACTTTTCGTGACGATTGTTCACACCAGCCAGACTCCATCTTTCACACATTAAACTATGTTTACAGTAGAAACACACGAGTACCTTATTTAGAACCTCCACAGACCATTTCAAATTCTTAATTAGAATAAGATAGTCATCATTAATGTTAACACGTTCCACGTGATGGGACCGAGTGGTCATCACGAACCTTGAACCCCGTAGCTACCTGATCAATAATAAAATGAAAAACATGAAAATTGCTCATGTTCTGTAATTAGTGCACTGTTTTTGTCCTATTGTTAATAACGAGCAATAAGAATATCTCGTTTTAGAATATTGACCATTTATAGGTTACATCATCGGGGCTAAAGGTTGACAATCAATAAATATTGACTTTAAAATTGTGAGATACTTAACGGATCCTAAGTTTTATCATCAACATCGCCATCTATAGTAAATACTCATTAGAATCTTTGTTACAATCAGTCCACTTGTCTAGTTACTTAACAGTCGATCTCATTTCGTACGATTCCTCACTGGCTATGGAGCCGTCCACTGGGTGGCTTCACCTGACTATTTCCAACCTTTGGAATAGCGCCGATAATCTTGACACGATTCTGCTGCCGATTGTCACAGAATTGAGGCGGCGGAGCGAACACAAGCTCATCTGCATTATTGCCCCCGGAAGATGGACCAGCATTGAATTCGGGTGGCGGCGGCACGAAGAGATCGTTGTTCTGTTCCTCAGCGTCTGCTTCTATAGGTGGTGGCAGCTGAGCCAGACTGACAGCGTGTCTCGTCAACATCCCGCTGCTATAATTCATTCTCTTAGGATTATTCTCCTTGTCGGTAGGAGTGGCTACCACCGGCTGATGAGGATTATTCTCGTTGCGGGTGTCGTCAAAGCCCGTTGGCGGGCCAACAGGTACGTCCTGATCGGAGCTGACGCCGCTCGAGCTGTTGTCGCCATCTTCCACGAGTTGCTGGGTCTGTTTCAACAGAAAGTCATTAGGATGGCTCTTAGAGGACTTAAGTTGTGTCCTGACCTTTTGGATTTCCTCTACGCTGAAGGAGTGCGGCAACGAGCTGCTTCCTGACGAACTACCCGAGGTGTTCGAGTTCCCTGATGTTTCCTTGGCAGATTCGAGCTTCTCCCGCGCTGCAGCCTTCTCCAGTTCCTTGGCTATCTCGGACTCGCCATCCGTCTCATCGTTCTCTGATTCCGAAAGGCTGTAATCAGGTTCCGGTATCGGCGGTGCTGATAGATTCGTCGCAGAGGAACTCGAGGTCATCCCTTTCTTCTTGCGTTCCCTCATACCGGCGGTACTGTGACTTCTGTTCGTCTTGAGCGGTTGAGCGTACTGATTGTTGGTCAATTGGTTATTGTTGTTGTTATTGTTGTTATTATTGCCCGACTGTTGACCAGTCGACTTGAACGTGGTACTATTTGGCGCGCGAAGACTATGCGACTTGCGCACATGTGAGCGATTCGAATGAGCTGGTAGACTTCGTGACCTGTAGCCAACGGTCTTCATATCCTCTGGCGAAGCGTACAACTTTGCGCTGTTCGAAGGTCGGAAACTGGACATGACTCCATATCCGGATTCCGCTGAGGATGCAGCAGCGAGTTCTAAAATGTAAGAAGAAAGGATTAACATGCTTGTCAAGTTTTTCTAAGATTATAGACGGACATTTCAATAAGCACTATTGGTACCTTTGACTTGTTGTATATGAGCCATATTGTCGTAGACAGAGGCAGGTGTAACTACATCCGGTACGTTGGCACCTACGTTGACTTTGATGACTTGACCTACTGGTGGAGGTGGTGGAGGATGGTTAGGAGGCGGTAAAGCGTTCCTGTTGGTCAAGGCATTTACATCTTCCTGACTCCTGTGACCCTTTGGTACCAGAACTGAAGATTGTACTTGAATATTAAGATCCGGGGTGCTGTGGAAGTCGCGATGAAGATCCGAACCGCCGCCAAGGCCACCAAAGAAGCGGACTCGTGAATTCGACTAAAATATGGGTTAACGGATCAGATTAGTCAAGAGAACTCTGCAGCTTAATCATATTGTTAATCAATGGCAACTAATAGTTCAAGGAATCGTTATGCTCTTTCTATTTCATGGCTGACCGTTTGACGTAAGCTGCGAGTATAATATATCCTCTGGAGAAGAGTCAGTAGACAACTACAAAAGCATCAACGTGGGCAAATATAAAGCAACAACATTTCGTTAGGTAAGGAGCTAGTCACCTGAGATCATGCAAGTATCAGAGGTTATAGACATAAAGTATTTTCAATCAGTAATATAAGTGGTCCTCATCGTCCCGTCCGCGCCCGGATCGTGCCCTGTGGTAGGCTCGAGTTTTGCGCGCATACTACAACAGACATGCAAAACAGGCACTTTTACCCTAGGCATGCATTCGCAAATGGAGGGAATAATTTTGTCATCAAGATATCTCCAGAACAGATTAACCACAATACAAGCCCATTACTGACTCTGCACTGGATACTGGTTATACTATTTTAATACCCATTTTAGATTAGACACTTGAAGTAGCGAACTTACGCAATACTAAATGTACTAGGCTCAAACGTTAGTATCAAGAGATCAACAAAGGAATGATTGAGCTACGATCACATTCCAGACATCTTAATAAGATAATGCTTATCGATCTTGTATTACTTAGATCTTACTTTGCCCTTTCGTTTCATCTCAGCAACACTTGCGTACACTCGGCCGGTTTTCGCAGGTGATGATGGATGCGATTTCGTGGCCTGACCAGTTTGAAAGTGAGAGCTCATCATCGAGGAGCCGTACTGTCCACTAGCACTGCCTTGTTGCCTCTGAAATAGTTCCTGAAAGGAGGGACGTGCCTGAATTTTGGACAGTGATTCCACATCCGGTTCCAACGTACGCAAAGAGCACCGAACTTACCTCTAGTTCTGCTGCTGTTATTCTGCTCGAGGTTGGTCTTGACCTGATACTTGCTGTTCTCGGTTGAACGGGTGTGTTCTGTCCGGTATTGGGTAAGGTAGATGGTTGCTGAGGAAGATGAATCGACTCCGCACTGCTAGATTTCGCTCCGGTCGACGTTATTTCGTCCCCATCATCTTTTTCGCCACCTCCTTCTGCAAGTTGCTCCATCAGAGGTTAGTAAAGCGTACTTAGAATTTTAAATAAAAACCAAGTCTTTTTTTACATACCTAATCCAGCCACCATAGATCTTGCTCTGGCTCTTCCAACACTCAAGGTTGTTTTAGGATCCCTTCGGGGTGGCATCGGAGCTGGTGATCTACCAAGGGTACCACCAATAGTTACGTTATTGTTACCCTTGCGTGGTAGCGTCGCATACTGCCTCTGAATCGGCTGACTAGTCGGCAAAGCTGCTGCCGATTGCGAACTGGGTAGACTGATAACAGGTGATACCACGGTCATCCTTACGAGCTCGCCTGACTTTCTAATCAGGTCCACCACGTGCTCGTGAGACGCTGTAGTGACATCTTCTCCGTTGATCTTAATTAAAAAAACAATTAATAATAAAATTAAGCAAACAAACCTCGTGGAACAGTCATAAATTTAATATGAGATTTCACCTGTATCAAGAAGTCTCCTTTTCTAAGACCCGCCAGGTCAGCAACACCACCCTGATCGACATCATCCAGGTACTGCAAAGCAGGATATCTGGCGGAAGGTGTTAACTCCATCAATGGCGACGTCGCCTTGGCACCTCTTAGCACGAAGCCAAAACCCTTTCTTGATCTATGTAACACAACAGTGCGTGGTTCTGAAGTGACCCTGCAAAAATAATTTTAAACGTTTAAACAATAAGAATCACGTCTTCGCCTAGGTAAACAATTTCAAGATCATGATTCTCACGGTTTCTTTAATCGTGGCGCAGTGGCAAAATACTTGTGCTGTGATTCTCTGCGTCCCAGTACACGATTTCGCCCTTCCCTGGACGTCTGTGACCCGAGTGGTATATTTGTATGTCGAAGTCTGACCTCCTGGACGCAGTGAGCTGGAAAGAGACCAGTACCCTGACCTCGCAAAACGCCTTCCAGGAGTCCGCAGTCCGTAGCGCCAGTTACTGTTTGAAATGAATACAAATGACAGAGCAGGTAGATGGAAAGAATTTGAAAATTTTTCTTAAGAGAAAACATTGAAAGGAATACAAAAGTGGATACCTTCCAAAATGTCGCCTTGGTTAATGGTCAGGTGGCCAGGTATACCGCTATTGTATCCTTCGACGCAGACTACTGTCGTCCCAGGAATACATAGAGAATTTGTTGTATCTGACTGTGAAGTTCCCACGCCGGAACTGTCGCTGATCACGTCGGAAGCCGTGTCGCCAAGACTTTTGTCTGAAAGTGAAATATATGTTTTCTTCGTGCCACTCATATACGAGTATTCGGTTTTAAGGGTGTACAATGAAAAAGCTATATGCAGAATTCCCTAAATGAGATGTCCCAAAAAAATTGTCTTTAGGAACAAGACTTATGATTTTTGAATAACAATATAAAAAAAATGACAAATGCAATCGCGATCTAATTAATAAATGTATTTATGTTTTATGATAAAGGCATGCCATCGTTGTGCAATTATGCCATGATGATTCGGAAAAAAAAAAAATCACTTCATATGGATTTACCTTTAACATGGACGTTCGAGAAGCTGGAGATCATTTTAAAAAGAAAATAAATATAGAAATAATAGAAGTTTTATAAGTATATCCCACGGATGAGACATCGAACAAACATGCATATCGTCTAGACATGAATAGAAGAATATATATATATATATATATATATATATATACATATATATATATATTTTTTGTTTCCCCTCGTTTTCATTACATTTTTGGTGGTGATGGCTGGACACGTTACATCAAAACGAATCCCGTGATTCCTTTCTTCCTCTATTTTTTTCAGCTTTCAAATCTTCCGGATGAATCTTCGATCGAGCCTTTTTTTATAATTATGATATATATATATACGCACGTATACGCTCATATGTATACGCATACGAGTGGCCCAACGTGTAACAGGTATCTTCGTGCAGTAATATTCGACGAATGACGTCACGAGTAGTTCATCCGCTCGTTCCACGTATTGGGCACGTATATTTTGATTTAACAAAAAAAAATATATAAAAAAACGTAGAGAACTTGTACCTGTGACGATGCTCGCCGAATCCTCCCCCGAGGGCTGGTTGCTACCCTCGGACAGGCTGGAACTAGCTGAGCTGAAGGGTGCAAGACTCCTGCTGCTCGGCGACGGCGACGGCGGCATGTCCATCGTCCTGTGTATGTCCAGTCGATGCTGAAGCTCGATCCGATGCTCTTGCAACCTCGTGAGACCCTCTATTCTTAGGTTCTGATAGTGGTCCGAGGTAGGGAATCTTCAAAATGTTTTTTTTTCTTTTTTTTTTTTCGTTCTCTCTGAGTGATCATTCCGCATGAATTGCGCTTCGCGTAAGCGCCCGGTTATTTTCCGCGCTTAAGAACGTTACACGGAAACCCGAAACAGTATCGCGATGAAAAATATTTTTAAAAAATTCAAAATTTATTTAAATGAAAAAAAAGTCGATCGACAACAAATATAAGGGACAGACTCGACCGGGCTCTTAATCGCAAAGACAATCTCGATGCTTACCTAGCATTGGAATCGCGAAGCGCATTTGGATTCTGATAATCGGACGGTAGCCGATTCAGTGTGTTAAGCTGTTCTGTTCTGGTAAGGGTTCCTAGATTCGGCTGATCCTGATGTATTCTCGTGAGGGTTCCTATGTGCTGCTGGGACGGTATTCGCTGGAGCGTTCCGCAGTCGTTCCTGCTCTGTTCCATGGACGGCACTCTGTTCAGACTACTGTGATGAGACTCGGTCCGCATTATGTTAGCATACTGCTCGGTACTCGGCATCCTGCTCAGGGTTCCCGTAGGATGATACTGTTGTTCGGCAGAGCTAACTCTACTTAGGGTACCAGTTGTGTATTGTTCCGTCGTGGTGGTAACTCTAGTCAAGGTACCGCCAGAGTTTGTATATTGTTCAGATGATGGTACTCTGCTCAGAGTACCCGTCATTGGATATTGCTCTGCGGATGGAACTCTGGTGAGCGTTGGATACTGTTCCGTCGACGGGATCCTGGTCAGTGTTGCTGTGCCGTATTGTTCTGCAGATACGGTTCTCGTCAGTGTACCCGTTGTTCCCGTGGCGACGTGCTGTTCTGTGGACGGTATTCTGGTGAGGGTTCCCAGATTGTTGGCTGAACAGCTTGTGGTCATACCACCAAACGCCATTGAACGTCGTTTCGGGTTGTAGCGTGGCGGGCCTTTAAAAGGTACTGAAAATCGAGGTTGCAAGGTTAAGTAAAGAAAAGATTACTTAGCCTTACAAAGATATGTTTCTTGCTTGGACATTCTTACGGGTTAATTATTTTTTTTTTAGACAAACTAATTTTTATGTGCCTCTGACAAATCGTGTGGCTTGGTACACCTGGATCCATGGTAATAAATTTTCTTTCTTTTTTTTTTGACAGTGATTCTGATTTTTTTTTCCCCAATGAATCTCGATTACTTTTTTTTTTCGTTTCTAGCGTTATTGGCACTTTAAGCAGGTTACGCAAGCCATCTTTGTCACATAATCGCGCGTGTATACAATGTTAACAGAAAACGTGTGGTGTGATAATTAATAGCTGGTGTTTTGGTTTGTTGTATGGAAGCGGGTGAAGCACACTCAATTAAGTCTCGTTGTATTTGTTTCGTACGATACAATGGCGTCCTGGCGCAGTTTACGCACTTGCGCCTCGCAGTCTTAATTACTTGACGCAAGTACTTTGTACATACGATTATGTATACAGTATATAAATATTTATGCACAAAGGTTCCTTCGAGGAAGAGTCTTGTTACATGCGGTCCATCGACTATAGATATGACTATTTCGTTTTGTAGTTATGTCTTTCTGGTATGCTTTATCGAATAAGAATGTTTTTTTTTCTCGAGTCGATGGATCGCGACAGTCGTGTTAAGAAATCATAGACTTCGTCAGCATCTACCAATGATCTAATTTACATGTTGTAGCAACGCTAGTCGAGAATCTCCACAAAAAAAAAAACAATCAGTAAATAATTGATAGGAAAGAGACGTGAAATGATAATTGAAGACATGAGACGAATGATCGATTGGATAGAAAAGAAATACAAAAAAATGAATGAAAAGAAGGGAAAAAATATTTTTTTACAAGAAACAAAAGTTACTCGACGTACAACCATCACCACCAAAAATTCTCACACACCAATTGTAATATATATATATATGTATATAGTATATAACGTAGTATCTTTATACTGTACCGGTAGCACGATCGATACCGATTCAATGTTCTTTTTTTTTAATGCATCGAAAAAAAAATCAATTCATTTCTACTACCTTCCTCTAGGAGCATTTTCAAATTATTACAGTTTCTCTATTATCCGACCAACTCTATTTCTTTAGAGAATTGCGTGCTACGTGCTCATGCCAAGCTAATTAAGCAAGCGACAAATACATCATCCTCTTTCATAATCCTTCCAAAAGTCGAGGAACTATATTATTATTAGAATAATATATCAATATAACGCATATATACATTTTGGCCTTCGTTACTCTCGAACTATGTGGCAAAGTACTTTTCCATGCTGAGACCGTATTAGGTGCGCTTTGATCATGTCGTCGCGGCGCTTATCAAATTGACATTAATTACTAGAATTCGTTATTGTTTGCCAAATAATACTAGGATGAGGATTAAAGCTCGTTAGGTTAGTTACAGTTAATTATCAGTGTTATCAAACGAACCAAAACCGTCGTTTCATGTTTGCTCGTTACTAATATTCTTATTTTTCAATTTAATTTATATCAAAAAATGAAAATTCAATATAAAGCGAATTGGTTGTAACCGACCATACTCCAGATTCGTTAACACAATTTAAAATCGTGGGATCAAGAGCGTATGCACTTAGTTTTAAAGAGTACTCCAGGAAGAAGAGGACGATCGGCGATCCTGATTCGCATCATCAAGGAAGAGTCAATGCCTCGATCAGTCAACAGTCATTCTTAACTCATGCGAGTACTTCTAGCTCGTATCTCAATGTCACTCACCGACTTCCTCGGGCTGGTAGTTCTTGATGACCTCAGCGAGGTCCATGTTACCAGCGATCACTGCGACCTGGTACGGAGTCTGATTCGCATAATTGAGACTGTCCTTCTGAGCTCCCCTGAAGAGTAGCTGACGAATGCACGAAGAGTCTATGTTGTTCACTGCGCATACGTGGAGAGGCGTGTTTCCGGAAGCGTTGCGAGCGTTCATGTCGGCACCGTAGAAGAGAAGATGATCAAGGTGCTGGACCAGGTTGTTTCGACAGGCCTACGAGAAAGAAGATAAGAATATTGAGTTGGAACCAGGTGAGAACTTACAAGTTTGAAATTAAAGTTCTAAAAAAAGTTGAAGTACCTGATGAACTTCCTGCCATCCTTGAAGGTCCTGAGCACCGATGGTAGCATGATCATGCAAAAGCGTCTCGCAGAGCATCGGATCCGTCTTGTATGTGACACTGTAGTACAAAGGAGTCAGTCCCTTTGTGTCCTTGTAATTGGGACTAGCACCAAGTTCAAGGAGCGTTTTCACAGCCTCTAGACTGTTCCTCTCGACAGCCCGATGCATTGCAGTCAGTCCTTCCTTTGTTCGATAATCAAGAAGCGCCCCGCCGTTCACCAGGGCGATGATTACCTTTGAAGGTTTCTTCAGACTGGTAGCAAGGGTCAGGGGAGTTTCTATTGAAAATAATAAGAAAAATTAGTTAGGACATTGTCGCCAACATAAGAGCTAACTAGCGATAGCTAACAAAGTGCCGCAAGATCCTTTCATGGCTTGAATAAAGGAGCTTGGTCGTGTGAACGAGCCTTAATCTTTTCAGGGATTATTACAGGGCCCGACGAGATGGGGCCCCTTCGGGTTTTTGAGTTAATCGCGCGACGAAATCGGGCCGGGTTATTATATTAGACGATCCTTCGGGCGTGTTCTCATGAAATCGTACCCCAGGGGCATCGAGAGCCACATCAGGTTTACTGGCCGTCTAACGACCACAGGTTATAGGGCGTTTAAAGAAAAGTGCGCCAGCCAATGATCCATCTGATTTTTCTCTCACTCACCGCCCGTTTCCTGGCAATGAAAGTTCGGATCCAATCCCTTGCTGCACATCTTTGCAATCTTCTCGACTTGACTGTTCGCCACGTAATCCAGGAGTCTTCGCAGATTCGTGCGCGTGTGCATCGCCTTTAGCTGCTTCTCGTCTAGGTGTAGCATCTTGTAAACTCGCCTTTTGTACTTTAGCTGCGTTTACGAAAAAGCAAAAAGAATCGTTAGTTTTAATGTCACAAAAATTCTGTTCGATTTCACATAAAAAAGAAAAAATGACAAAAATAAAATATAATAATAAAATGACGCAATCAGCCATGGTTAACCATGTTAATTCGTTTCGTTAATCAATTTTAATTTATCAAATATGTACAATTTCTCATTAAAAATCATAACTCTGTACCAAAGTATTAGACAAAGTAGATTTTTAAAAATCCCGATCGAATTTCTTGAAAAGACATATAGCATATAAGACAATCTCTAAATCAAGATCTCTTCGGGGAATTGTATCGAAAACAAAAAAAAGGGAATCAATCCTCTTTCAAACCCTACCCGAAAGACCATTACTCTCAATATCGCTGACTTCTAACAATTTTTTTATCCCTCGACTCCAATCCAATAAATAATCGAATTCGATATCGTCGATCGCACCACACATTCTCAGAACCGTTCCGTTAATAGTATTCGAATCCACTGTCCAGTCAGCAACCGTTGGTCCCCGGTTTAGATGTATAACGAGAATAAAGTCGACGTCACACGCGTTGCTGAAAAAATGTCAGTTGGCGTTTCGTGTGGACAACAGCATAATAACGAGAGGCCACAAGACGGTAGCAGCTATGTTGCATAAACGTACCACGAATGTATCGTATAGTATCGGGTATTGGCCGGTGGACGCGCTCGGCTGCGTAGCTACTTGGCGTTCCTAACGGTGCGCTCCTTCCCCGTGAGGGCTGCTACAGTTTCCTGACCACGAGATCTATCCGGGTTGATGCACTCCAATAAATTTCAACGTCAACGACCATTTTTTCCCGTGTTCCATATCAACGTACGAAGATTGGTACGAACCTCATAAAAAAAAGGTGAATCACGTTTGACGTAAAAAAAAAAAAAAAATTGTAGATTACAGCTACGAAATTGAATAACAGTATTGTACGAAATTTGACATCGTATATTACAACATGATGTAAATAGGATAACAAAAAAAAAAATAAAAATTTTTCAAAAATTAATCGCGCAATGAAAATCCTTATATTTTGTTTGCGACGCTCTCATAAGGTACCGACTATGGACCCCGGCCATTCGAGATGAGACTAGCTCCAGTTACGTAAGAAACCGCGGGCAGCATCCAGATCTTGTTAACCCGACGAGATATTTGTTTTTCCTGTCTCCGGTCGGAGACGACGCCGATCAGCGCCATGGAGTCGGCGTTTCCTTTTCCCATGCAGGAGTGGAGACGCCAGGTGACACCTCGGCTGGGACGCGGAGCGACTACGTGGACCGAGTTGCATTTTCGGTTTTGGAATTACTTCCTGTCTGACTGTGTCTCCAGGTATTGGGTTCGTGCTCGTTCGAATTCTTCCCACGAGATAGCTTATGGGATTTCCCATAAGGATCTTACGAAATCGACTTTGTGCATTTAGAAGTAGACGACGTGGACTAATAAGGTACTTGTTAAAGCCTATGAATACATTAGTGACGACATGGTAGGAGAAGTATACTTGGAGGTTCGTCGAACTCTGTTATAATGGACATTGGGATGTTTGTAAAATTCTGGAAAAATATATGTTAACGCACTATGCGCGGGAAAGGTATTAATACCTTTTGCGTATGACCTATGACCGCTTGGCGTATGAGTGGCGACCGCGCTGCGACCCGTACAAAGTGTGCTAATGTGAATGATGTACGAAGTAAAATTTGTGGCTCTGGGATGGAATACAAATTGCTATGATAATTAGTGGAGCCTGCTAATTGGTCCTCGCTAAAATTTCTAGTTCCTATTTACGCATCAGGGTTGGGTCTCTTTGTCTTTTACCAGGGCGGAGTCTTTCGCGAGTTTGGCCTCTGACACAAGTTCGCTATCTAATGTGAGCATAGTCTATAAAAAGCAATTACGCAAGGAGTCAAGTTCACTGAGTGAGAATTTCACAGTGACATTAATTAGGTATTCACCGTGAAGCCACTTTTTAATCAATGGAAGTAGGACAATTAATACATTGAAGTAGATAATTAAAGTAGTTTTTGAGGAAAATTCTTAATAGTCTATTTTATTCGTTTATGAGAGAGATGGGACGAGACGTCGCAATGTCCTATGCGTTAATTAAATACAGATGAGGTCAGGATCGGATCCTTAAGGCAGTGGCAGAGACCTCAAAGTTTCTTAAGTGTCATATGAATGCAAATGTGCCCCCCACCCTCACCAACATAACCTCATTAGACGAAACGTCCTCTGGATAATGCCCAAGGTATTGTCGTGGTTCAAGAGTGTCTATTCCGAAGTCATTATCGTTAAGGGTAGTCGACCGGATGAAAACGAAAAATAAGACATGCGAAAATATCCGGGGTTGTTCAGGTCTCCTTGACCTCTCAGACCGGATCCCTTAGACAGTAACGTGCCATTCATTAGACTCTTTTTAAAAAGCTCTTCTCCTTCTATATCCATCTCTGTCAGCGTCTGTCTTCTATATATGTATATAGGTATAACTCTTCCCTATTATCTATTCCCTCCTCTGGTACCCTGACCGACCCGAATAGACTACTCAGCTTTACGTATTACCCGGCTGAAATGGCCTGACACGACGTCAATAAAGTTGAAGGAGTCATTTACGCTGGCATTCAAGGTTCGGCCTGGACGATTTTCCAGCGTCATGAAGTAGTAATAGGTAGTAGAAGCAGAAGAAGAAAGAGAGAACGTGAAGTAAATATATAAAAAAGTTAGTCAGGTTGGAATGGTTCGGCAATGGATAGATGGAAAGATATGTATACACCGAGGGTAAATAAAAAAAAAACAGTGCAAGAAGTACAAGAAGAAGTTGAAAGAAGAAGAAATATAAACCAAGCAAAAGATCATGAACCCGGGAACAAGACAAGGTGGAAGTAAAGCGATGATACGAATTGACGTTGAACCCGTCGAAATGTTACTACCAGTCTATTATTACTATGTAATTACCAGTCTGACCGCAGGATGGCGCTGCTGTGCGCGAAAGAAGAAAACGAATAAGAGTACGGTTAAATAAGAGCAGGACAAGTAAGAAATAGGAAGTAAAGGTGAAAGAGGAAGCGGAACAAGAATAAATGAATTAACCGCGTAAACTCACCTCCAGGTAGCCGACGGGGCCGTTGAAGGGATAATCTCCCAGACGACGTTCCTCGTCCAGGAATTTTCCAGCCTTCCCGTTCACCGGCGGGCAAAACAGTCCGTAGTTGAAGCTCTCCTTCAGCTCCTGCAAGAACGTAGTAAAGCGCTGATGAAACGCACTCACGGTATATGGCAACGTATAACGCATAGGCATTCAGACACGCATATACGCACTGAACCCCTCAGGACAGTGGTACCAACATCGTCCGTTACACGTGAGATCTATTAAGTTTCCCTGGTTGAAACTAACGGACGAGTTTTTTTTTAATTTTTCTTGCATAGTTTTTCCTTCCTTTCTCTCTTCTTCGTACTTCTTTTATATTCTTCTCTCTTTCGTTCATCCCGCTCCACGGCGACCTTAGCTACTCTCCTATGTATCGTAGATATAGAAAAGCGTACCCACGTTCCTTAAGGTCTGGTTCACGTGTGTTCCAGGATAGATGGACAGATAGGTACGTAGGCTGACTGAGAGATAGGTTACATTCGCAGGGGACAAGTAACAGAGGAGTCACGTAAGTTTTGGTAAAGCTGGTAAAGTCAATTTACACAGAAAAGTATATATACAAGTAGTTAATGGTTAATAAAAGACTTTTAATAAATACGAAAATTCAAGTGCGACATGCGATATGCAGATACCTCACGTTGTAAATTGTATCTGTGGTTCCAATGTAAACCGGTTCGGTACACTGAAATTCCTTTGGTTTACGATTATTCTCAATGCGAACGTTTACACGCTCGATTTCGTCTACCGGCCCGAGGCTTGTGAATACATTACGATCAATAACGAATCCTTTTTTTTCTTAATTCCTTTTTTTACGTATTAACCACCCGTCCACGTGTATCTATATACGTCAAGAATCTTAGGAGGTTTCCTGACAATTTTTAAGTCGTTGGCATATTGTTTTATAAGTTAGACCAGCCCTTGCCACAAGCATAGGCACTGTCTGCTGGGTGGTTTTATATATTTAATAAGACCTTTAGCGGCATCTGCAAGGCGCGTTTTCAAGTATAATATTACGTAAGGTACAGGCGGCGGTATCCTCTTCGTGCAATGTGTATACGTATGAATGCACATGTGAATATGGATATATTGTACCGGTTCGGGTCTGGTACATGCGTTATCTTGCAAACACGGTGAAATAATATGCTCCGATTTCTCCGACGACAAGCAATAAAGTCGTATGAGTTATGGCGGCACTTTGCGAATTTCGTCATAACACGATGTCGGGCTTGCCAATTCGTTGGCTTACAACAACGTCATCTTCCTTGGACCAGCAGTTGTTGTCTTGTTAGTTTTATATGGACCCAACCGCGAGCTGAGTATTTCGCTATACTTAATATAAAGCTTACGTTGTTGGATTTGGTTGGTGAGAATGTCGCAAAAAAAAAATCAAGAAAATTTGTATGCTTGGAAATGTTAAGTTTTCGAAAAAAAAAAAAAAAAAAAAATTCGACTTTTTCGAGTTTACGCATTCACCCGATACGCTGCTGCTGAAACTTTTTGTAACAGAGTCGTCTTGTGAGCCTCATTCAGGCAACCACAAAGGGGCAAAGATGGAGCATGAAACCATCACGGTGGTGAAACCCCTTTAGTTTCGCATTAAGGTCTGTAATTGCTGTATTGCGCCCGATGTTATTGCGATGAAAATGCGCCCTTATTTCTTTACTGAGTGCATCCAAGGTATACACGTGCCACGTGTTACTACTAACTTCCCTACGGTATTCTCGGCATATGGTAGCCAGAAAGAAATTGCACAGTGGACAATTATGGACGAGCAACAATGACGACAGCTGTGACACGCGTGCAGTTTTCACTTGTACGTATGCTGGGGTAAACTGGTATTTTGCACGACATTTTTTTGGACGGTTCAAGTAAATTGTCGAGGAATTTCAAATTTTAGTAAAATTTAACGAACGTGACGGATTTCAAATTCAGGATGAAAACAGTCGCTGCTTTTATTATTCTAGGTAAAGGGGTAGGTTGAAGACCATACATGTCCACTTTCTCTAACGAGCCCTTAACGTTTGTACAAACAGCTCGTTGCCTTTGACATACCCTCCATCTTGTTTAATGTCACCCCTTAGATTTTCTTGGCTGAAGTAAATGATGCTGGGAGGATCGATAAGGGGTGAGCGAAGGCGAAAGGAAAGGGGTGAAGCAAACGGAAGGGACGGAAATAGAAGTTGAGGGTAAGGAAGGGATGTTTAATTTTTAATTTTTTTTTTTTTTTAATAAAAAAGGGACACCATTAGGGATTGTTAAATTTCCTAACACTTTAACGCGTCCAACGTGTCTTCAAGGGATGTGTATAATGATAATCATCATCTTTTGGAACACTTCATTCGATTTCTCGTTGCTCGCTGTTAATCTAATTCATTGAATGAGCAGAGGGATTTAATATCAAAGCGATCTGTTCCTTTCAGGTACACAGGATCTTTTTCTAGCTTAAACATTAAAGGCAGTGTTCATGGATACGGTACATTTTGATATCCAACGAAATTTTAATCAAAAGTATTGGCGTCTGACATCTGGCTTACGTATCAAATTTTTTTATCTTTTTTGATACGCGGGTGATATAAAATTTGATATGAAATTGTTACGGATTCAAGTAAAATTTTTAATTACATAACCCTGATATTTTTCACTTTTGACATTTACGATCCTTAACATTTTTTTTTTTTACGGAATTGGAAAAAATCAAGCGTCCATATTATTGGATGGCGTCGCGACGCTCATCCATCCACCATTCGAACTAATTAGAACGATAAACATTTCAAATTAATATGCATGAGTTTCAACCCCGCGCAGACAAATAAATCAGTTCCCGAACACTAACACGGTTGCAGTGCTACTGCCTGGCACGTGCAACCCTCTAAATCAGCGTATATGTTTAAAGATAAAAGGATAAAAGAAAGATAGAAAAAAAAGATCCTGGCCAATTTTACCGGTTAGGAACCATTTACGATCGCGTCGTTATAGAAACGCTTTGCGAATCTACCCTTCTCCCTGTGGTTTATCTATGCGAAACGATCCTTCGTTTCACCTGAGTGCACCGGGATCTACGATATGGATCGTGATCGAGAATAGATCACGGTGGGGAGGCTGTGTACCGGCCTATTGCGAAAGATCCGTAGAAATAATAGACCGGCCAAACTGCTTTATTCTAATTGGCGTATAATCGCTCTGTGAGATCGTGCGAATGGCACGCGCATAATACAGTATCTAATGGACATTAGAAAAATCCACGGAAGGATATGGATCGAAATTCTTAGGATAGCAATAAAGATCGATTTTTACATAGAATTTTTTGCAGTTGCCTTTTAATCGACATGGACAAATATTTCAACCATTTTAGGTAACTATGCGCGATCTCCAGGGACGCATTGAGGACCATTTGAATTAAGATGGTGAAAGATCGATAAATCTCGATGGATCAATGGCGGATGGAATTCCGTACGAGAATTCACGAATGTCTTGTAACTTTTGGAGTGAAAGTCACTGTAGGTACCTCACGACCCGGATTTTTATTTGTCGGGATTCGTATAATTGCCAATATGGATTTTTATCCCGCATGTAAGAAATAAATCGAAAAATAGTTGTTCCGTTTTTTTTTTGTAATTTATTAAAATTATACAACCTAAATCTTCACTGTATAAAGATAAACCGCGAATCTACAAAAAATCTAAATTCATCGAGAATTTTTCGAATTTTTCTTTAAATACAAGTATAAAGATAAGTCCATTGTATGGCGAAAATTTAAATGAAATTCTTATTTTACGATCGTCCCATATTTTCGTACTGTTCACAAGTCGGCGACACGTGTTCCTTTTACGATCGCATGTGGATGTAAACGCGATCTTCCCACCGCATACCGAAGGGTAGACGCAATACATATATTATACACATATGTATATGTATACATAACTATATAAGACAGATTACTAGCATATAGAATTATACTGTCTTTATATACAAAAACGCGACCAAGAGTGAATGTGGAAAGTCGAAAATATCACTTAAGCCAAAAAGATATGACGAAGATAAAAGTTGTATTAAAAGTGAAAGAAAAAATTGACAAAATAAAAAAAAAGATCAAGAAAATGAATCGCATACAGCGAGTCATTTTGAGCGGCGCTGTACGGCATAATAATGGCCGAAGGCATGTCTTAATCGTGCTTTATGGTATGTAATTGCGGCCCGGCGAAGAGCCAGGGCGAATATTAAAGCTCGGCTTTGCATCGAGGGAAGCGTTACGCTTTTAACCATCATGTCAAAGGTCACCTATTCGATTCACCCATCGAAGCACACATATACCCAAGTTCCCCATTGATTTTTATCACAATAAATTTCACAAGCATTTCCCTCTACCGATACCTATATGCATTGAGACAATGGGGAAAAAATCCAAGACGTCAGGTTATTTAATTCCAGTTTACGAAAGAGCTTAGGGTAATTTTCAAAGTAAAAATAAAAAAATATTACCGTAACCAAATGCAGTGACAGAGAGTAAGAAAAATTACCAGAACTTTATCAGGGACTGTATTGCAAAATTGTTAGGGTAGAAAGACAGCAAATTAAGGCCGGTACGCAGTGCATTAGTGTTAAAGAGGAAATATGACCCATAAAGTGTCAATGCGTCGTAAAGGGACGCGGGCTGTATGCGAAATCGAAACGTGAGCTAATTCCGTAACCGGAATTTGAATTCCCGCCATAAATTTTCAAAGTGAGATATATATATATATACATAAATACATCTAAGAGAAAAAATATATTGGCTCTATTTCTTTAATTCTTAATGTATATCGTCTAACGTAAAAGGGCCTGTATGGAATGCCAGTCGCGTGTACGCTATGTGTATAAAACCATAGGGAACAATAGTCCGTGGCGTCTACAGCCGGTTATAATCGTTCAATAACCCGTTTTTCAGTGTGAGCGTCCGATGCCGCGATATAACGCTAATACCATTGCTACATAAGAGGGATATTACGGGCTTTATTAAATACCAATAACAGTATATCACATACGTATGACTATTCGAATCAGTGTATAGTAAGTTATAGGCTGACAGTATAGTGATTGGTATT